TGTTTTTATCTATTTACACATGAGGAAAATGAGGTTGAGAAGTGTTAAGTAACTTGCTCAGGATCACACAGGTAATAAGTATCTGAGGAAGGATTGAATTTAAATCTTCCTGTCTCCAAATCCTAGGTTCTAACCACTCTTCTACCTAGCTTCAGGCTAGTGGAGATTAAGTCTAGAAAAGGTATTTGGGGAAAGATGGGGTGGGGGAGGGGGCTTGAATGCCACACTGAAGATTTAAGATTCTTATTCAGTAAGCTTTGGGAATCCAGCAAAGACTTATAAACAAGAATGTCATGATCTCAAAGCAAAGCTACAAGACTTAAAGGGCAGTATCCAGAATGAATTGAAGGAGGAAAGATTCAGGAAGAACTATTGTTGTCCCACATATACCAAAATAGTTAAAGCAGCATTTTTTTGTGGTAGCCAAAAACTGGAAATAAAGTGGGTGCTCATTGTTGGGGAATGGCTAAATAAATTGTGATATATGAATGAAATGAATTATTATATCATAAGAAACTAATGTAAAAAATTTAGAGACATGTGGAAAGATTTGTATGACTTGATGCAGAGTAAAGTAAGCAAAACTAAGTGAACAGTGAACACAGCTAGAACCATAATGTCAAGGGAAATAACACTGAAAATCTAAGAATTCATATTGCTGCAATGACATGCTTGGCTCCCCAGGACTGATGAATACACCTACTTACCTTTTCTCTTTACAAAGGTGGTGGGACTACATTTACAGAATAAGTCACGGCCTGCTAGATAGTGTTGTAGTTTATTTGGTTTAATTGTTTTTCCTCATTTGCAAAGTGTGCAGGGGAGGCCAGGGCAAGAGAAAGAAGGGAGGGATTATTGGGAAAATAAAGTGGTATTTTTTTAAGAACCATTAATAATATATATAATGGACATAATTTTTATATTTTACCACCTAAGTTTCAGCAGATAGATTTTATTCCTAAAACACAGGATTAGCTAAAGGAAATGCAAAAGTAATTCTATAAAACAATTATGATATTTATATTTGCTATTTATTTTGTTATTAATTGTATTTACATTTAATGCTACATGTTAGGTACTCCATCCAGGTGAACAAGTATTTAGGCAAGTTTTTTTTCCCCTAAAGATTAAAGAATCAGTAAATTTTAAGATATTAAAGTTTTAAAAGGCTATTATAACATTAAAAGGCTATATTATAATATAATTATAATTGAAGTATTAAGGATACAAATTCATGTAGGAACAATGTAAGTACAAAGGAAGGACAGATATGAAGTATATCAAAGGAAAAATCTATTTAACAATCAACTGATTAGATATCAGAGGCAAGGGTGAAGGTGAATTCAAAAAGGATTCCCTGGTTTCAAGTCATTCAGATAATGAAGATACCATTCACAGAAATAACCAAGACAGGAGAAAAGCTGGTTTGGGAGGAAAAATTAGTTCAAGTAGGATATTCAGATAGAGAAGTCTGTAATTGGAAATATGGATATTGAGCTCAATATTGAGCTAAGGATACATGTTACCCCATAGAGGTGTTAATTGAAGCTATGAATATTAATACAATTTCTAGTAATAACAGCTAGCATTTATATAGCACTTTAAAATTTGCAAAACACTATAAAAATGCTATCACATTTTATCTTCACAACAACCTAGGAGGTAGGTATTATTATTGTCCCCATTTTACAAATGAGGAAAGTGAGAAAGAGATTACTTGACTTGTCCAGGTTTAGAAAGCTAAAAAATATTTAAAGCTCCATTCACTGTACCGTGTGTGTGTATGCGTGTGTGTGTGTGTGTGTGTGTGTGTGTATGTGTGTGTAGAGGGAAGGAAGGAAGAAGAGAGGGAGGAAACACGGTGAAGACAAGAAAACTAAGGATAGAATCTTGGAAAATTCCTCCATTTAGAGAACAAGAGAAAAAAGATGAATGGTTCCAAGGTAGGCATCAAATCGGGATAATGCAGTGCCAGGGAAGCTACAAGTAAATCATCAATTGTGTCTAAGGCTTCAGAGAGGTCAAAGGCAATGAAGACTCATTTTGATGACTGTCATTCTGTTATCGCTACCTGGGCTGTTAATCTCCCTCTTCCTTAGCTATGAGAATCTTACGTATCTCCCTATATTGTTTGTGGTACATCTGCAGTTTGTAGTAGCACCAAAGTACTGGGTACTAGATAAATTAACAGGAGTTTTGGCTCCAGGATTATGCATGGACTGCTGTACAAGTAGAGAGAATACCTCTTGCTTATCATCTTCCTTAGGAATAAACTCAAGTACACCCTTGTAAAAGTTGAAGCTAAGGTCTGCACTGATACTAAATAACTAACATTTATAGAACACTTTAAGGTTTACAAAGCATATCTTATCTGATCCATACAATAGCCCTATTATCTCCATTTTACTTATGTAGAAACTGAGAGTAAAAGAAATTGTCACTTGCCTAGAGTCACACAGGTAGGAAGTGTCTGAGGCAGAATTCAAACTCAGGTCTTCCTGACTCCGAATCCAGCATTCTAGCCACCGTAGCACTTATCTGCCATGTAGATTTTGTGGCTCTAAGAAGCACTGAGAAGACAGGAGAACATTTCCATCTGCTGTGTATGACATAGAGGACTCCGTTGCTATTCATAGATCACATCTGAAGAGGCAAAGTATAAGTTGTATGAAGGGAGAAAGATCTTTGTCAGTGCAAAAAAGACAGCATCCGTATAGAGACTCACAATGCTCATGCTTTTCAGATCCTCTCAAAGTGAATGACACCATACAGATACACTTAGATTACAAACAATTACAGGCTTGAAGTTTATTACTGGTTACCTCTATATGGTGATTAGTGGTGCTAACTTAGATTGAACTGGCTCAGTCATCAATAGAGAGAAGCATCCTGGTGTTGTCCATATGGAGGATGTCAATGATGGGAACTCCTAGGTTTGGAAACTGACTCTACCATTGCAGGTTGGCACCATCTCGGCAACTTATAGTCTTATATGGACTTGAACCCAGATATTTCTAGCTTCTAAGGCCAACTATATGTTACGATACTTCTCTTACATGATACATACAGGCAACTATGATTTCATCAGCATGAGAAACTCCTATTTTGGATGCTCCTTCCAAAAATGCAGATATCAAGCCCAAGAACCAGTAGATCAGTCAACCAGCACTTATTAAGAACCAAGCATTATGTTAAGCACTGGGGAAGGCAAAAATAGATGCTCCCCCGAAGGAGTTCATATTCTAATGAGGAAGGCAACATGCAAAATTTATAAATACATATTCAAAATATACAAATACGCAAAATGTAGCTGAATAAATGGGAGGAAATCTCAGAGGGAAAGGCACTTGTACCTTGGGGCACCAGAAAAGGCCTTTTGGTGGTCATCCTTCATTCTTGAAGAGCCTCAATTTCCTTACTTGTAGAATGAAAAAAGATCAAATGTATGCTTTGTAATCTAGTCATTTCAGTTACGTGTCCTATCCCCCAAACAGAATGTAAGCCCTTCCAGAATAGTGCAGCACCTTAATTAAACTTTAGATCTTCCTCAACAGTGTTTTCCACAGAGTAATCATTTAATAGTTGAAGGATCAATTTTAACTGGTTTAGTTGACAAATTTCTAGCAGATTTGATACTTAATATAAGAAAGTTTAAGAAAGTGAACTTTCTTTTAAAATGTGCTATTACATTTTAAACATAAAAATAGAACTGTAGTACAAGGAGGGAGTGTGGTGAAAAGGCCTCTGGAGAGAGAGGACCAGGATTCAAACCTCACCTCTAACATTTACTTTATGTATGACCTTAGATAAGTCAATGAGTACACCAGACCTCAATGTGGTCATCTGTAAAATGAGGGAGTTGGATTAGATGTTTCCCTAAGGTCCTTTTCATCTCTAGATCTATGATCATAAGGTAGATCATAGATCTAGAACCTCTAGAAGCTACTTCACAAGGTTGTGATTAGTCCTCAGGCAGGTGTGTGCTGGAGCTGGCTCATACAGACTATTAAGAGCTAATGGTTAAATTTTTGGTGTGATCATTTATTCAGCAATTAGCAATACTACAAATCAGGGTTTAATTTATTGTGAGTTTTTTAAAATCATCTAGACTTAAGAAAGTGATGGGGAAAATGTTAACAATGCAAATTAAATTTAAAAGTGTGTCATGCATTTGGTGGGGGAGCCGTTTGTTAAACATTTACTAGCCTACTTTGTTCTCAAGTGAAGTGATTTATGTAAAGCATTCAGTAAACTTTAAATATCTATATGTGATCATGTGTATATTGAGTGAAAATAACAGATTATTTGTAAAAGATTATACATCTAAACCCTAATATCCTTCTTCTTTATAATTTCCAAACTAGTGAAACCAACTCTATATGTTAATTGTTTTCTAAAAGAACTCTTCAACTCTGAGCAGTCTGAAACATCATCTCTCTTACTGTATAAGCAAGCCGAAATGATACTTTAAACTTAGTAGTCAAGCATCAAGGTAACAGACGCTCCTGAGACAAACAGAAAAGCCAGTAAGATATAGAGGCAGGAGCAGTTAGGTGGTGCAATGGATAGAGCTCTGGCCTTGGAGTCAGGAGGATCTGAGTTCAAATCCAGCCTCAGACAATTGACACTTACTAGCTGTGTGACCTTGGGCAAGTCACTTAACCCCAATTGCCTAAGCAAAAAAAAAAAAAAAGATATAGAGCCAGCTAGGTAGTACAGTGGATGAAGTGCTGGACTTCTTTAGCAGAAAGACCTGAGTTTGAATTCAGCCCCAGACATTTAGTTGTGTGAGTAGGAGTGACTTAGCTTAATCAAGTTTTTAATTTTTCTCAGCCTCAGTTTCTTCATCTCTAAAATTGGGATAATAATAGGACTTATCTCCCAGGGTTGTTGTGAAGCTCAATTAAGATCCTTGTAAATTCCTTTCTAAACCTTAAAACACTATATAAATGCTATTGTTTATTATTGTTAAGATGCATTTTAAATTTTTTTTCTTCCAGGAGCCAGTTCATCAGATTCTGACAGTGAAAGTTTAGCTTTCAAATCAAAAGCTGGAGATATGCCACAGTAAGTAACTCCTCCCCACTACAGCCTTCCCATCTCCACCGTTATTAATTCCATTAATAATATGAAGATAATCTCTGTAATGAAAAATATCAGTCAATAGAAAGGGAGAGATTGAAAATAAGTGATAGAGTAGGAATGACAGAGAAGGGCAAATCTGTTGGAGGAGATGGGATGGAATCTGCCTTTTAGAACTTCTTGTATCTTTTAAAACCCTGCTAATATAGCTTTTTAATCCCTCCAGCTTACAGTGTCCTCTACCCTTCAAAAACTATACTTTTGTTCATATTTATTTTATATATATTTATATCTCATATATGTGTATACATACACATATATAATTTAATGAATACTTCTTTTATATGAATTTTATATATTTTTTCAAATTACATGTAAAAACAATTTGTAACTTTCATTTAAAAAAAAAATTTGAGTTCCAACTCCTTTCTTCTTCCCCTCCCCCCTCCTTGAGACAGCAAGCAACTAGACATAGACTATACATGTGTATCATGCCAAACATATTTCCATATTAATCATGTTGCAAAAGAAAATACAGCCAAAAAGACCAAGAAAAGTAAAGTTTTTAAAAGTATGCTTCCATCTATATTCAGATTCTGTCAGTTTTTCTCTGGAGACAGCACTGTTTATCATAAGTCCTTTGGAATTGTCTTGGATCATTGTATTGCTGAGAATAGCTAAATCATTCACAATCAATCATTGTACAATATTGCTTTCATCATATTCTGGTTCTGCTCACTTCACTCTGCAACAGTTAATGTAAGTCTTTCCAGGTTTTTCTGAGAGCATCCTACTCATCATTTCTTATAGCACAATAGTATCCATCACAATCCTATATCACAATTTGTTCAACCATTTCCCCAATTGATGGAGGATTTCCAGTTCTTAGCCACCACAAAAAGAGCTGCTTTAAGTATTTTTGTACAAATTAGTTCTTTTCACTTTTCTTTGACCTCTTTGGGCTACAAACCTAGTAGTGACATTTGCCCTCCAGAATGGTTGAACCAATTCACAACTGTACCAACAGTGCATTAGTGTCCCAATTTTTCCACATCTCCTTGGTTGTTTTCCTTTTCTGTTATATTAGCCAATCTGATAGGTGTGGTATAGTAGTATGTCAGAATTGTTTTCATTTGCATTTCTCTAATCAGTCATGATTTATAGTATTTTTTCATATGACTATAGATACCTTTGATTTCTTCTTCTAAAAACTGCCAGTTTCCTTTGACCATTTATCAACTGGGGAATGACTCATATTCTTATAAATTTGATTCAATTCTCTATACATTTGAGAAATGAGGCCATTATCAGAGAAACTTGCTATTAAAAAAAACTTCCCAGTTTTCTACTTTCCCTAATCTTGGCTATATTGGTCTTGTTTGGCAAAAACTTTTTAAATTTAATGTAATCAAAATTATCCACTTTATATACTCTAATATTCTATTCTCTATCTCTTGTTCGGTCATAAAGTCTTCCCTTACCTGTAGATTTGACAGGTATATTATTCTATGTTCCCCTAATTGGTTTGTGCTATCACCCTTTATGTCTAAATCATGTACTCATTTTGACTTTATCTTGATATATGGTGTGAGATGTTGGTCTATACCTAGTTTCTTCCAAAGTGCTTTCTGGTTTTCCCAGCAATTTTTGTCAGATAGAGAGTTCTTTTCCCGAAAGCTTGGATCTTTGCATTTATCAAACACTAAATTACTATGTCATTTACTGCGGTGTATTGTATACCTAATCTATTCAGCTGATGTGCCCCTCTGTTTCTTAGCTAGTACCAGATTGTTTTGATTACTGGTTTTTTTTATTAAGTTATTTTTAGTTTTCAACATTCACTTCCACAATATTTTGAGTTCCTAATTTTCTTCCCATCTCTCCCTTTCCCCCACCCCAAGATGGCGTGTATTCTGAATACCCCTTCCCCCAATCTGCCTTCCCTTTTATCACCCCCCTCCACCTTCTCTTATTCTCTTCCCCTTCTATTTTCCTGTGGGGCAGCATAGATTTCTATATCCCATTGCCTGTATATCTTATTTCCCAGTTGCATGTAAAAATAATTTTTAACATTTGTTTTTAAAACTTTGGTTTTCAAATTCTCTCCTTTCCTCTCTCCCCACCCACCTTCATTGAGAAGGCAAGCAACTAGATACAGGTTATCCATGTGTAGTCATGAAAAATACTTCCATAATAGTCATGTGAAAAACTAACTGTATTTCCCTTTATTGTATGCTGTCCCCCTTTTATTCTGTTCTCTCCTATGACCCTGTCCCTCCTCAAAAGTGTTTGCTTCTGATTACCCCCTCCCCCAATCTGCCCTCCTTTCTATCATCCCCGCCCCTTCTCTTAGCCACTTCCCCCCCTATTTTCCTGTAGGGTGAGATAGATTTCCATACCCAATTGAGTGTGTATGTTATTCCCTCCTTAAGCCAAATCCAATATTCACTCTTTCCCTCTCACCTCCCCCCACTTCCTCTCCACTGTAAAAGCTTTTTCTTGTCTATCTTATGTGAGATAGTTTCTACCTCTCCCTTCATCCTTCTCCCAGTATAATCCTCTCTCACCCCTTAATTTTATTTTTTAGATATCATCTCTTCATCTTCAACTCACTCTGTGCCCTCTGTTTGTGTGTGTGTGTGTGTGTGTGTATGTATGTATGTATATTTCCCTCCAACTACCCTAATACTGAGAAAGGTCTCATGAGTTACAAATAGATGATTACTGTTTTATAATATAGTATGAGATCTGGTACTGCTTGGCCACCTTCCTTCACCTTTTTTTCATTGATTCCTTTGATATTCTTGACCTTTTGCTCATTAATTAATGCTTCTTAATTGATATATTGTAGATAGAAAAATAGTCATTGAACATGAAGTGAGTTTTCAAGAAGGTAAGAGGTAATAGTTTATTTTTAAAGGAGCCAAGTCAAGTGTATCACCTATTAAAACCATTTCAAAGACAGTACTATATAAATAGATACAGATTGCTTTCATAGTCTCTAGCTGTCTTTTTTAGAGAGGCTCACCTCCCTAAAGGAGGAAGGAAACCATAAGAAGATTTGGGTAAAAAGCATTGCATCTTCCAGAGTTTGTTCAAATAAAACCTTGAAGCTATCAGCAAAGAAGCAACCAACATATCCATTTACTAGCTTTAATAAGCAGGGGCAACATGATATAAAGTGCTGGACCTTGAGCCAGGAAGATCAGCCTTCAAATCCTGTCTCAAATACTTCCTAGCAGTGTAATGTTTGGGAAGTCATTTAACATCTCCGAGTTTCAATTTATTCATCTGTCAAATTAGGATAACATACCTCAAGGGACTACCTCACTGGGTACTTGTGAAGCTCAAATAAAATAATTTATATAAAGTGTTTTGTAAAATTTAAAGTACTATAAAAATGAGTTATTCTCTTATGAGGAAAAAAGATAAGGATCCTGAAATACTGTCATCTTTACAAAATTAGCAGTTGGAACAATGACCAGCTGTTGGAAGATTTAGAAGAACAAACCAAAACTTTGAGACCCAAACTTAATGATTCCAAACATTTGCTCACTGATGGAGATTGGAATTCTGCCAGGTGTTTTCTCATCCTTTAGGATTTGTAAGGCAATTAACTCTTCTTTTGAGAATAGCTGAGTTGTCTGCATCTTACTTCTCTCTACTGTGTCTCTTGTGTTAAAAGTCTACAATAATCTATTCAAACTATATACCAATGATTGAAATTTGATTAAAATTTCATTACATTTTATCAAATTATTTTATTATTAAATTTTATTAAGTTTTAAAAATTTGATTGGCAGACTCCCATTGCTGAGGCACACTTCATTTTCAATGTATAAACTGAAATTTAAGCTCATCCTACTGTATTACCAACAAAGACAAGTTAGGAAAAAACACATTTTGATGCAGTGAATCCTTGAAAAATTTATGACTGACAGTTTGTTTTCCCATATTTTCAGAGCCCAAAAGAAAACAACCTCCGTTTCCTTAACAATAGGATCATCTTCCCCGAAGACTGGAGTGACTACAGCTGTGATTCAGCCCATCTCTATTCCTGTTCAGCAGGTATGTCTATTCTATAACCACAGTCATCCACTAGCAATATAACTTATTATATTAGTTGTAATTTGTATATAGTTATAACTAGTCCCTTAATATAATATAATGGATATTCTGACATTCTATTTAAGATGTACTGAGATTTAATAACTATTAACATACTTACAGATCTAGACCTCTACCCTTAATCTGCTCACTGTCTAACTGGAAATAAGACTGAAGAGAAATGAACATACCCTGAAGATGAAATACCTAATACGATGAATAGCAGCAATAAGCGAAAGGGAAATAATTCTCCTTCCTTTCAGCCCACTTAATTCCTAAACATGTTACTCATTAGACATTTTCTCCATTGGGAGCTCCTCTTCTCAACCAGAAGATACCTGAAAAACTGGAATGCATTCCTAAACAAACAATTTTCACAAACTGCATAAAGCATTTATTTGAATCTCACAAATATGAATCCCAAAAGTATATGTACACATGACCATTTTCCCCATCCTCCACAAAGAGCTACACAAGCAATAAAATAAGTAAAATTAGCAATCAACAATTTCTCCTTGCATAAAGTTGTACATTTTTACCAAAGTTGTAACTAGGATTAGGCCATTAGGATTTTGGCTCAAGATTCTAATATCCAGGATGATATATTTTGTTCCCAGGAAAGTCAACTGGCTTTGTACTTTTTGGAGATTACTGTTCCTACACATTCCTTTAGTCTTCCATAAACCTTCATGTATCATGACATTGTTCTCTTACCCCACCATAATCCAGATGCTTCTCTCCTGGGGACTTGCCTTCCTGACTCTGGCTATGTGAGGGCTACTTTCTCTCCAGCACATCTTCAACCACTGTTGGATTTTCCCCTATTCCACCACCCTTCCTCTTTTCCATTGTGGGACTCTAATACCCCATCTCCCTCACTCTCACTGTCCACCCTTCTTGCCCTTTCCAACCTCCTTTCCTCAAAGAATCCCTAGTTGCAATTCTAACTTTTATTTTACTTCATTACTTTTTCAATGGTGAGGAAAAGGTTAAACTGTTTATAATTACAGCCAGTCTAAGAGATGGTAAGTTTACTTTTTAAAAGAAATAGATAATATAAAATCAAAGTATCAGGGCACCATGATGAATACCCCTTTTAAAGATGATCTGCCATTTCTTACAAAGTGTCTCTCTTTATTCTCTTAAGCTGTAAAGTCATCCCTCATCATGGCTTGTCTACAAAAGACAGAATTATATCCATGCAGGGCATTTTCATTTGTTGAGAACTCATTAGGTGCTTGATGGCTACGTTCTATGATACATGAGATTTGCAGATCACAGAGTACTCACGAGCTTTCTTCCACAAGCTTCAAATCTACACGTACATTAGGTTTTACTAGCATGGGCTCAAAAGTTCATTTACTAATTAATTTGTTGATTGAGAAGGAGATTTAAGAAGTCACCCCCAAACTCCTACATAGAAATCAATATGGGGCATTGGAAAGAGCCCTGAAGTTAGAGTCATGGGACCTGAGTTCACCGCCTAGCTCTCCTACTTATGACCTATGTGACTTTGGACAAGTCGTTAACCTCTATGTACCTTGGTTTTATCATTTGTAAAAGTAGAGTTTGGACTAGATGGCCTTTGATGTCCTTTCCAGCTCTAGATTTCTGATCCTATGATTCTTCGGAATTTTAATCCGATCTTACATCTGTTACAACTAATGTTCAATATAATAATATGCCCTCCATCTTAGATCTGTGATTTCATCAATATGGGGAGTCCTTGGTGAGGAAACTCTACCATTGCAGATTAGTAATTGATCAGAAATTTAGGGTCTTAGAGAGTGGTCTATTGTACCAAGTAAAGATCATTCTTATTATTATTACTATTAGCATTTATTGAACACTTTAAAGTTTCAAAGGCATTTTCTGGAACTAGGTGCTATTATTTTCACCACTTTGCAGGTGAAGAACCAAAGTCCCTGAGAAGTTAAGAGACTTGCCTAAGGTTGTATAGTGTGTCCCAAAAGTATTAGTACAGTTGTGAATAGCAATATCTTCCTTCCAACCTCCCTTCATCCCTCCCTCCCTTGCTTCTGTACTCCCTCCTTCTCTTCCTTCCTTCATCCTTTCTTCTCTTCTTTCCTTCCTCCCTCCATCTCTCCTTTTCTTCCTTCTTCTCTCCCTCCCTTCATTTCTCTCTCTTTTCCTAATTTTCTTTCTTATTTCCTTCCTTTCTTACTTCTTTTTTCTCCCTCTTTTCATCCCTCCCTCTCTTCCTTCCTTACTTCCTCCCTTCTCAAAAATCTTAGTGCAGGTGGAAACCTTGATAACTTGGAATTCTAAGACTTTTGAGAGCCCTCTGTAGGGTCTGAGGCAGGAGTCTAGCCTGGGTTATCCTGACTCCTAAATCAAAACTTTCTTCCTTTCAACATCGTGCCTGAATCTGTTGGCTTCACCTATGTGATTCCCTGGCACATTTAGCTGAATAACAACTTAAGTAAGTTGTACGTAATTAAGCTTAGCAATACATATCCGAAATCTAGATTCTGAGAAAGTTAGGCTAATGCAAAATACATACTAGTTTCTGGTCTTTCTTTTCAACAAATTCAGAAATCACACCATTTTTCCTTGTGGGGATTACCACTCAGTGGAAGTTGTGACACCTCCTTTTCTCGAGCAACAATAACAAAATCCTTCTCTCCATTTCTTGCCTCTAATACGGGCTAACAATGATAGTGAATATTGCATTTCAGATCATTGAATGTAAGGTAATTAACTCTCCTTTCTAATGCTAATGCAATGAACTTGATTATTTTTAATAACCAACTTCAGACCCTATTTGAACATATATGCACATAGAGTATCACACATTTGAGAACTGTGGAAATAAAGTTCTTACGGGGTCCCAGACACAGAATCCTTTTGGAAATAGCTTTTAAACATACAATTCCCCTAAGGAAAAATATTTTACTGTAAATATTATCTTGATTATTAGAGTATAACAGATGTATAATAGGGAAAAGGTACTAGGTTTGGATTCTTTGAGCAGCTCAGGAGCATTGGCTATAGCAGGGATTTCTTTCAGAGGGCTAGATTGCCTGATCAAAGCATTGCCCTTCCTTTCCCCCTAACCCCCATCTTCAATTATATGTGTATTTAACATTGTGATCAAAAGGATTTTGATTTTTCAGGTTCAAAGTCCTACTTCGTATCTCTGCCGACTAGATGGAGCCAATTCTTCATACACTCTTCCCATTTTTACAAAGGTTTGAGATCTGCTATGTTCATTCTCTGTGTTTGTTTTTGTCCCTAGCACAAGTTGGATATAGGATAACACTGAATTTTAAAAGTAAAATAAACAGCTCTATGGTATCTTAGTAGGACATTGCTTGATGTATATGCTAATGACTCTTTTGTAGCCAAGTCCACCAGTATTTATTGAGCACCTACTATAGTCAAGTACTGTAGAAGTGTAAGGAAGAAGCAGCAGCCATGGAAGTATTTCCCATATAATTGGGGGGAAATAAGACATATGGAGAAAAATATATATGAAGAACAATAGGAGACCAAAGGATTTGGAACTGGAAGGAACCTCAAAGACCTAGTACAACCCACTTATATACTGGTGAGGAAACTGAGGCCAAAGAAAGTTATCTGACACACCCTAGGTCATCCAGGTAGTAAAAACAAAGAGAAGATTCAAACCAATTTAGGGCTTGTAGCTCCAAATCCAGGGCTATTTCCACTAAGTCACTGCCCATGAATTGTGTGGTAAATTGTTTGGCACAGACTACAAGTACAAAAGGAATTTTAGAGAATTGGCTCTTGGTTAAAGAAACTAGCTCCCTATCTTTCAACCATATCAAGAAAGCAGAACATGATGACTCTTTAGGATTTAGCAACTCCCAAGGAAGAGAATAAATCTCTCTGATCAATCAAAAAGCTGTGCATGTCAGTAGATTCTGAGTCAGTTCTGTGGTCTCTTGGTCTGCCTTCCAGAATCAGTCTGGTGAGATTGGCCCTTGGTCCTGCACTAAATTCTTCCAGCGCTACAAGCCTTACCAACTAGCTTCATGCATTTGGCTATAGCTTATGTCAGAAAGAAAAACCATTTCCCTTACCAAGGAGCCAAGTTTTAACCAATGTTTTGACTGCCTCAATGCCTTGGAATCTGGGGTGAATGCATCCAAGGTTTATGGAATCTGTGCCTCTTTAATAAAATATCTCCTAAGCCAAATGAATATCTATCTTCTTAAAATGACCTCAAAAGATTATTTAGTGCCTCAAAAGACTCAAAAATTAAAATTATTTACCTCTTACATAAAATCTACACTAGATCTGGGGTTATAGAGCTCATCTAACTCAACCCTCTCATCTTACAGATAACAAATGTTAAGGGACAAAGGATAACAAGTAGAAGAGCAGAGATATGAACCCAGGAGCTCTGACTCCTGAAATAGCAGCATTTTCTCCACCACACCATGCTGCCTCCCACTTGATAGTCCAAGCCCCACGATCAGCACTTACCCTGAAATAATCCTTTGAAGACACTCTTCTAGGGAACCTGTCCCCCAGATATAAAATTTAGTAAAACCAAGAGGTTTCCCATAAGAAACAGAATGTGTTGGGGCAGCTAGGTGGCGCAGTGGATAGAGCACTGGCCCTGATGTCAGGAGGACTTGAGTTCAAATCCAGCCTCAGACCAAACACTTGACACTTACTAGCTGTATAACCCTGGGCAAGTCACTTAACCCCAGTTGCCTAAAAAAAAAAAAAGAAAGCAAGAAAGAAACAGAAAGTGTTACCACAAGTTGGAAGATAGGTAGAGACGAAGAGCAGGAAGACAGCAGAGACAATCAGTCAGCTTAACACTGAGTCCATGGCCAGCTTCTAAAAGGAGAGCAAGCTGAAGCTTCAGGGCCAGTATTTCTAAACTGGCGCTATACCGTAGAATCATCAGAAGAGAGAGCAAATCATTCAGGTGACATCTCTCTGCGAAAAAATAGTGCAGCTCTCAGAAGTTTGATTTTTGGATGACTATCCTTGGTGTCTCTGTTCCCTTGTTTGTATATATTTCTGGGCTATCAATTGTAAGTCTTAAGGAATAAGATATATTGAAGGTTTGGGCAATGACAACATTGTCACAAGGTCATTTGACAACTTCATCATTGACAAATCTGAGTCCTCCGTAATCCTGTTCCAGAGGTTGCAAGACTCTGATAGTCAGAAGTTATGGAAATTTTATATAAATGCACCTTTGTGAATAACCAGAAATGGTGAATAAGAATGCATTCTTTCACTTAGAAGTCTCACAAATTGATCTACATTTCCAAAGATTTCACTGATCTATCCCCACCACCACCACACACCTTTTCCAGATTTAGCATTCCAGAACACACTGTTCAAAGGTTCTTATTCCCAGAAGACTTACAGAACTAGAGAGGCCATTTGTCAAATGGTTCCTTTCTCCAGGATGTAAATAAGAGTGCAATTCTTAATACAAAGTCTTCCAGTTGGTCTATATACAATGTTCTTCCCCAAAAAACATTGCCTACCTTTCAGTGACTCCTCATGTTTCAGTGGCATTTATAAGGTGTGGTAACCTTTTGTCCAGCCTAAGTAATGAAACTAATACCATTTACATTTCCAAAAGTTTAAGTAGACTCCAATCTATGGACTAAGAGTTTCAGATTTTCCTTAAGTTGTTAACTAACCTTAGAGATAGATAAGTAAGGGGAAAGGGTGTATGTTTTTTTGCACCTTTGGATTTTTGATATCACATACAAAAGATCTACCTCTTCTATTATACCTTCAGAATTAACTTCCTTTCTTATCTAGGTAAGGTTTTCTAAAACTTCTTTCTGGTGGTCCCACAGTTCAGTGCATTATTGCCTTACTGAAACCTGGAAAACAAAACTATACCAAATTACCCTCTTCCTCAAGAAGCCTGGAGCTGGGAGGTGGAGAGTACATACTGAGGAGAGAAGGAAGAAGGAAGAGGAAAAAAAAAAGAATTGTGCTTGTTAAAAACTAAACTGACTTCTCTGTTGTATAAACTTTATATTTTGTTTTTATGGGAATCTGTTAACTCTGACTGCATTCATTACAGAAAGAAGTTTGTATTCTAGTTGCCTAGTGACTTGAAGAGCAATAGGATGAGAGGAATAATTAGAAAGATAAGGATAGAATTAATAAATGTGTGTTTTGCAAAATGCAGTGAAAATTACAAAGCCAGAACAAATACAATTTTTTTCATGGTTTATGGTATTCAAAAACCATTTGAAAAAGCAATTTGCTAATGTAAGTAAATTCGTTTTTAGAAAAACCTGATAATCTGCTGATTTAATTTCCACTTGACTCACCAGTTATTATTTTGTGACCTAATTTTTTTTTCATTTTTCTGTATTATAATTGCTTCTTTTCTTCTGTTTAATTGAGGGGGGAGGACAAAAGTTTGATTGGGAGCATTCCTTAAAATTTCAGGAACTGCAAAATATAACAGCTTCAGAGGGACAAGTAGTTGTCCTGGAGTGCCGGGTCAGAGGAGTACCCCCATTGCAAGTCACATGGTTTCGGGAAGGTATCGAAATTCAGGACTCTCCAGACTTTCGGATTTTACAGAAAAGTAAGTGAAAGGGAACTGCATGAGGTACATGACAGGTTACATGACATGTCCAGCATACCATAGCTAATAAAAATTAGGGGGAAGACTCATACATATGTATGTGAGTCAACCAACATTTATGAAGCATCTAGTATGTTCCAGGAACTATGTGCTATATGCATGTGCATGTGTATGCTTCACAGATATCTGTGTGCATATATGTGCATATGTAGGCATGCTCATGTGAGCTGTGTGCATTGTATACTTGTGTTGCGTGTCTGTCTTCCTTCCATCCATCTATCCACCCATCCACCATCCATCCATCCATCCACCCATCCATCTCTTTATCTATCTATCTATCTGGAAATCTCAGAGAAGAAGACGCAGATCAGCAATTGTTCTGCAACTAATGTATTTCAACAACACTTGTGTATTCCGTGTATTCATGTGCATATGTGTGGATGTGTGTGTGCATTGTGTATATGCATGTGTATGTGTAGGAAGAAAAGCAGCATAGTATCATGGCTAAAAAACTGATCTCAGAGTCATGAAGACCTGAGTACAACTTCTGTCTCTGACTGTGTGAACTTAACAATCTCTCTATGCCCTCAAGTGTCTCTTAGGATATGGATTCTTTTTTTTTTTTTGGCTAGGCAATGGGGTCAAGTGACTTGCCTAGGGTCAAACAGCTAGGAAGTGTCAAGTGTCTGAGGCCTGATTTGAACTCAGGTCTTCCTGACACCAAGGCCGGTACTGCCACCTAGCCACCCCCTAGGATATAGATTCTTAACCTGAAAGTCAATGGACCCCAAAGCATCTGTGGTTAGATTTGAGCAGGCTTGTGAACTTGGACGGGGAAATATTTTTATAACTATTTTGATATAATTGGTATATTTTGTAATTGTATGTATTTTATCTTATGCATTTAAAAACATTCTAAAAGGGAGTCCATAAGCTTCACCAGACTACCTAGGGGTCCATGACACACAAAAGGCTAAGAATGGATGCTCTAAATATATTAGTTGCAGAACAATTGCTGATCTGCATCTTCTCTGAGATTTCCAGACAGATAGATAGATAAAGAGATGGATGGGTGGGTGGAAGGAAGAAAGAAAGAAAGGAAGGAAGGAAGGAAGGAAGGAAGGAAGGAAGGAAGGAAGGAAGGAAGGAAGAGAGAAAGAGAGAGAGAGAGAGAGAGAGAGAGAGAGAGAGAAGAGAGAGAAAGAGAGAAAGAGAGAAAGAAAGAAAGAAAGAAAAGAAAGAAAGAAAGAAAGAAAGAAAGAAAGAAAGAAAGAAAGAAAGAAAGAAAGAAAGAAAGAAAGAAAGACATTTTGAGCATTGTAAAGGTCATCAAAAGGCTGGGGGTGCTTAATATAAATGTAACCTATTCTAATAGTTTTTCTTCTCTTACTTTTTCCCTGATGTGGCAAGCAGAACCTCGATCCACAGCTGAGCCTGGTAAGAATCAGTTTTCTTAAATTGGCTTTCCACATTCAATAGTTCTTTGTATCTGTACTGAAGATGTAAAGAGAATACTGTTTTTGCTACACGTGAAAAATGTGAAACCCCTTAAAGATAATCTTATTATCATAGGGTTGGTACACTGTGTTTTACATCAACTGTGTTATTGGTTTTTTTTAAAAGAGTCTCATTTGGACAAGGGGGAGAGTCCAGCAAATTAACAGTGTTAAAATTTTTAAAAAAGATAATAATCCTTGTATTTAGAAAGCTAATTAAACTAATGATGAAAAACAATCCTCCGAAAATTCCTGTGCAAAAATTATATTACAGTTTCATAAACCCAAACCGCTAAGTGCTAGTCTCCCCATCCCACTTATGTTTCTCAAATGCAAGCAGAGCTAGCATGCCCAGCCTGTGTGTTCTCAGTACATATTTCTATAAACTCTTACCATTCCACAACTGTGAAAAAGTCTTCTTGCCCCAGGGTTCTCTTTGAACCCCTAGGTCACTGGACCTCATTAGAGATCTAGGGTATCTGTCCTACTGCATTTAGTTCAGAAACTTAGGCATCCAATGCCTAATCCGTAACAGATCACATAATTATCCCCTAGGGATAAAAGTCTCAAAACAGTGTGGAAGATTTTACCTAAAGGTTCCAAGAGTTTGTAGCTCTCAAATGCACTTTATTTTTGCCTTATTCCCTTCCATCCTCACTTTCTCAACTTCACCCCTCAGATACATTGTTACAGTAGATGCCTGAAATGCTAACATCTTAGCATTATGTTTGGTTTGGTTTGGTTTTTTAAATCACTGTCTTTGCTGCTCAGAAGGTAAACATTAATGCATGCTAAGTAATAGCCTTAGGAAAAAGCTGAAATTGATCCTTTTTTCTTGTCCCAAGACCCAACTAGATAGAGCATATCTTCCCACTATGTGTCAGTCACTACATCAAGTGCTGCTGTGAATTTATGAAATTATATAAATATACAAAGCTTCAAATTGTGGCATTACAAAACACTTTTCTACTATATGGAACTAATCACTGGGGTACCATCTACTCCATGATCCATGATCTAATATGGAAAATCCTACAAGGAGTGGTTATATAGGCATCTTTTATATAAAGTTTGTAATGGCTTTTAAATGAACTCTTAAAGTTTGATAAATTCCAGAGCAGAAGCCAAATACTCCCATTGCTCCCTAGGGGATTATTTTAATGGGGAAGAGGAAGGAGAGAGAATTAGCTAGACTTTTATGTCCTTTTGTTGTCTGTATACAAAAAAAACCTAAAATGTTTGGCCTGTGAGTACTGCTACTGGGACTAATTAAGCCAACTCCTGATATTATTTTTTAGATTCTTAACAGAGCCATGTGTTTACTTTTTTTCATAAAATTATTATCCTTTGTAGCCATCTCTGCTTGTGTGGGTGTTCTGGGAACAGTTGTTGATGATGCATTAACTTGGCTCAAAAATTGCAAGGCAACAATCAGTTGGTAAACTCAAATTACTCATTTAAAATTCAAACCTTGGTTTCAATAGATGTGATTGTTTTGAAATAAAAACAATCTAAAAACTGGGTAAGAAATAGTAGATTTAGGAGAGAAGAGAAAAATGCCCTGAAAATAATGAATGATGCTGGCTAGATGATAGTACAGTTGTATAAATCTGGGATTGATAGAACAACTAGACTCAAAGAATCTTATCAATAGGGATTTGTGAGGTTTCAGTGGAGGAACACAATGCTGTGTCCTTCTAATCAACAAGTCTTTATTAAGTGCCTACTGTGTGCCAAGAACTGTGATACAGTTACATACAGCCAAACAATATCTACTTGCAAGCATCTGACATTCAAATAGGATTAATTCCTTTCTTTTCAACATTTTAATTAGTGACTTGGATCAAGGTATAAATGGCACAGGTTTTTCAGACTTATAGGCGATGCCAAATAGAGCAGTAGATATAATTTATCAGACTGCAGAATTGGACTACAAAAAAAATTGACAGATTAGAATGATGGACTGAATCTAATGAGATGACGTTAATACAGATAAACATAATTGTATGCTTAGATTCAAAAAATGAATGCAAACTTTTAAGATGGAGAAAGTATGACTAGATAAAAATACACGTGAAAAAGAAACAGTGATTTTAGCAGACTGGAAGTTCAGTGTGAGTCAGGATTGAAAACTTGGCAGCCAAAAAAGCTAATGCATTTCTAGGTTGCATCAGCAAAAGCAATAGTGTCCAGAATGAAGGAAGTTATAGTTCTGATGCCAAAATCAGGCCACATCTGGAGTGCTGTGTACTGGTCTGGTCACCACATTTTAAGAAGGCCATTGATTAGCAAAAGATCATGCAAAGTAGGGCAACCAGGATAATGAGTGGACTCAGAAACATACCACATGAGGAGCAACTAAAAGAACTGGAAATATTTAGACTGGAAAAGAGAAGAATTAAAAGGGACACAGTAACTGTTTTTAAGTTTTTGAAATACTGTCAGGTGGAAGAGGGATTAGATCTATTGTACTTGGCCCAAGACACCTCAGAACTAGAAACATTGTAAGGACCCAAAGTTAGAGTCTAGAAAAAGAAAAACTTCCTATCTATTAGAGCTGTCCTAAAATAAAGTGAGCTGCCTTAGAAGTAGTGGGTTCTTTTTGACAGAAGGTTTTCAAAGCAGACCCTTGTCAGGAATGTTGGAGGGGGAATTTTCCATAGAGGTGAAGGGTCAATCACAAAGCCGCAGAGATCTCTGTCAGCTCTGAGACTGTACAGCAATTCGCAGATGGTGATCACAGAGAGAGCTTCACACCAAAAGGGACCCTTGCTCATGTCCACAGTCTTGGACGTTCTTTCAATGAAGGATTTCTGAAGCTTCTGGCATTGAGTTTTCAAAGTGACTCTCTTGGTATGTTTCAGCCCCAAACCACACAGAAGATATCAATAGCCTGCCTTTCAGAAACTGCTTCCATATAAGGAACTGCTTTCAGCATGAAGTTACACAATAATGTAGAAAAAGACATGTCGTAAAAGGCTTGCAAGCAATAGCTTTTGAGTAATTTATGAAGTATTTTCTCATGTGTCTCTCTTACATCTTCTTCTTCTTTTTTTCCACTTCCACTACAATCACCTAAGTTCCAGCCCTTGACTTTTGTAATGGCCCCCTAACTAGCTATTCTATGAGTAATCTCTTTCCTCTCCAGTCCATCTTTCACCCCACTGACTGAAAAATCTTCCTAATGTACAACTGATCACATAACTCCTCTATGCCAGACTTACCATTGGTTCCCATTGCTTACTGAAAAAAAAGTATAAACTGCTGATTCTGATATTTAAGGCTCTCCAGAATTTGGAGGCCCTAAATCTCTAGCCTCATCGCCTACCATTCTTCTTCATAAATTCTACACTCCAGCCAAATGGGATTATTCTCCATCCACCATTCTCGTGCCATTGTCTTCTCTCTCATTACCTTTGCTAATGCTTTCATACTTAGAAAGGATTCCTTCCCCCACCCACCCAATCCATTTATTAAATGTCCCACTTTTTCTGGAAGGCCCAACTCTCCTGCCATCTTTTCCTCCTATTTCTCTGACACTTCCTTTACCCCTATTCCTGCCTCAGCTGGAAGAGATCTTTTCCATCTCTGGTTTTTCTTTACCTGGGCTTTTCCCTTGAACTTGTCCTTTTGCTATATCCCAGTGATGTGTATTTATCTTTCCTATCTTTGATTTTAAACTCCTTTATGAACCTTGGCAAGATCCATGTCACATCTGTCTTTGAATTTCCAGTCAGCAAAGTAAAGCCAACCCTATCTTTTATTTAAGTAGGTGCAGGATAAATGTTTGTTGACTTGGATTGAGTTATTGAATTCTGTATCTCCTTTCCCATACTCTATACTTTCTTACTTAAGGTTTTTTATTCTATTTGGTCTGAAAACATTTCAGAGAGAATTATTTCTTTTAACAATTTTCCATTTAAATCATAGCAATAATAATCTCTGTGAATTAGCAAGAGTTGGTGCTAGAAATATTTGACGCATTTTTATGCACACTAAATATAATTTATAATCAATAGGGACTTAGATACAAAGTGCCTCACTCTGACTTAAGTTGTTACCTATATGTAATTTTTTAGCATACTTTTCCAAATTGGTACCTTTTTTTATGGTGAATTACTTAATGCTTTTAAAGGTGCTTTTAAAAATAAGGAAATACAGTATTGCATTCAGTGACAAGAATGCCACATTAATCAATTAGCAAACATTTATTAAGTGTCTACTACGTTCCAGAGCAGGCACTGGAGATATAAAGACAAAAATGAAATGGTCCTTGCCCAGTTTAAGGAAATTACATTCTAATGGTGGAGATACCATGTTTATATAAAAAGAAAATCCATGAGAAGAAAAAAAAATAAACAAAGGGATGTGGATGCACATTACTTATGTCAAATGTTGCACATGGTCTTCAGAATAACCCAGATATTAATACAAATTTATATTTAAGAAATATCCCCAGCACACTGTACAAAACCAAAGATATCTTTTAATACATAGTCAAATGTTTCCTTCCCCTACTCTGTCAACCAAAAATACAAAATAAAAAAGATGTTAATGTATTTCCTTTATTTAAATCATCTGATAAATATATTCAATAAGGCATTCCATGTTTTAGAGAATATAATATTGTCTAAATTTAACCAACTAATATATTTCTAAGCATAAGATCCCTTGTAAGTTATATCCTAGATGCATGGAAAAAAGAAAAATGGAGAAGACTGCCAGATGGTGAATTAGAAAAGCCTGGGCCAGTGTTATTTTCAAAAAATTAAATGCAGACAGCTTCAAGAATTACATAAAAGATTCACCATTAGTAATATATTGTATTTCTTCATATTCTCTTTCTCTGTCTCTTTCTCTCTCTCTATCTCTCATCCTCTCTCCCTCTTCCTCTCCCTCTCCCTCTCTTCCCTCCCTTCTTTCTCCTTTCCTCCCTCCTAT